AATTTCCAATTTTTTCGCGGAAGGGAGGGGGGTTGGTAAAGCCCACCGCAGGCGCCGCCTGATAAAGAATTTTTTTTCGAGTGCCACCCGCAAAAACGTTTATCTATTTTAGCTAGCCACTGAGCCGAGCGATACCGTGCTATGCGAGTCAACTGTCATCTAATTGCGAAATTATGACAAGAAGTGTTAATCTCGTGTGACCAGCACCTTCTTCTTCTTCTTCTTCTTCTTCTTCTCCTGCTCCACAACGGTTTTACGATCAACGAATTTTCTATAGTAACAACAAACACGTTACGTCCATTTTAAAATTACGCACAGTGTTTCCTTGTTTCACACAATGGAGGACTAATTAGGAGCTACAAAAACACTTGCAAGCGAGTTATAAAGTCTGTTTTTTTTTTAAAGATAATTCACCAAGTCAAAAATTTAGTAACTATGTTGGCAACACAAGCCTTTTCTACATACAAAATTTGAGAGCATTGACAATTTTACATTGTATTGCCAACATAATGTCATTTTGACTTATATCTTTAAAAAAAAAAGATTTTACAGTCTTTGTATATGCACACTTTCTCGCATCACTAGGACTCGCTAGGTCTGTTCGCACAGAAATCACTAACCAGTCAGAGGAGTGAATTTCATTGGTTGAAACTAGTTTTCTGAATGTTTCTCTGACTGTTTTCAACCAATAAAATTCGCTCTAACTGGTTTGTGATATCTGTGCGAACAGACCTTTTATTTATTTATTTTGTTTTATCGATATAAATGCCGCCCCAAATTTTGCCGCTCCGGGCAAATGCCTGGGTTGCCTAAAGATGGCCCTGACATTCAGAGAAATTCCAACACCAGAACTTTTGCATTGTCATAGACCCAACTGATATGGTCTGCAGGACCTGATGATATTCCTTACAAAGTACTAAAATCTTGTTCTAACATTTTGTGTCTCCCTCTATTTATTATTTTTAAAAAATCCTTAAACTGTGGAATTTTTCCAGAAATGTGGAAGCTCTCTTATGTTTGTCCTATTCACAAGTCAGGCAGCAAGAATGATGTAACAAACTACAGACATATCAGCATCCTGTCTGCAATTCCGAAATTATTTGAGCAGTGCAGTAAAAATATTCTTTCACAAATATTTCATCAGATTGTGATCAGTTAACAGCATGGGTTTACAGACGGTAGATCTGTTGATACGAACCTGCTTCTCTTTACAAATTTTACAAATTCATCATTCGATAACAATGCAGAAACTCATGCAATATATACTGACTTCAGTAAAGCCTTTGATAAGGTAAACCATAACATTCTTTTTTCAAAGCTCTCAAGTTATGGCGTTTCTGGACCCTTACTTTCATTGATGAAATCTTACCTCACTAACAGAATGCAACCAGTCAAGATCGGTGGCTATCTTTCTTCTCTTTTCCATGCATCTCCTGGGGTACCCTAAGGTTCTTACTTGGGCCCCCTTCTATTCGCCTTATTTATCAATGATTTAGGATCGTTGCTCTCCTCAAATTTTTTACTCTTCGCAGATGACTTGAAGTTGTATCGTCAGGTGACGTCAGCTCAATACATACTTATTCTGCAAGCAAAACGATCTTAACATTGTTTATGATTGGTGTCAGCTTAATGACATGTTCCTCAACATTGATAAGTGTTGTTGTATAAGATTCAATAGACTCACCTATAAGGTTCCCTTTCAGTGTTGCTTAGGTGATGTTCGCTTGTCTGAAGTTTCTGTCATCAAAGATCTTGGTGTCTATCTAGATACTAAGTTCACCAAGCCTTTTGAAGTGGTAATTGGCAGGGCTAATAGAATGTTGGGTTTTATTAAGAGAGCTACTAGGGACTTAACAAGTATACGCCCCATCAAAATTTCTTTACCTATCACTGGTCAGATCCGTTCTTGAATTTTCTTGCAGAGTTTGGTCACCTTACTATCAGATCCACAGGTATATGGGTGAGTTAATAAGCACGCGGTTGTCCATATCTCCTATACTAGCGGAGATCGAAGAAAAAACTTAATACAAAACTTGTAGATAAACATGAGTACTACATTCCTAAATTATTTTCCAGTATACAGGATGGCCCAATTACTAGTAGTTACACAAAGTTATGTTTTTTTAAATGACCCTCTGTATATTATGACATTTCTGGAGTCTGCGGAAAATTCTAGACATATTTCATGTACAATATTCTATACCTATCTTCAATTGTTTTGCAAATATTGACGGTTGAAAATTGACTTTTTTGCATCTTTGACAGACTGTGAAACCTAAACGGTTAATTTTAGACGAAAACGGATTTTACATTCCTATCTTAGATTTTCATAAGCTATCATTTGACACTAACTTTGAATTTAACCTAAGATCAATAATTTAGGCGGAATTTTTAATCATGGATTAAATTCAAGATTGGTGTCAAATGATAGTTTATGAAAAACTAAGATAGGAATGTGAAATTCGTTTTCTTGTAAAATTAACCGTTCAGGTTTTACAGTCTCTCAAAGATGCAAAAAAGTCAGGTTTCAACTGTCAATATTTCCGAAACAGTTGAAGATAGGTATATGACATTGTACATGAAATATGTCTAGAATTTTCCGCAGAATCCAGAGATGTCATAATATACAGGGGGAGTCATTTAAAAAAACATAACTTTGTGTCACTACTAGTTATTGGGCCACCTTGTATACTGGAAAATAATTTAGGAATGTAGTACTTATGTTTATCTACAATTTTGGTATTTGGTTTTTTCTTCGATCTCCGTAAGTATACGAGATATGGACGACCGCGCGCTTAGTAACTCACTCTGTATATAGGCTTGAGAGTGTTCAGCACAAATTTATCAAGTATACTTCGACTTAACTACTCTTGTTCGCAGAAGGGAATACTTTGATGTCTGTTTTGCTTTTGATATCCGTAACTACTACATAAAAAGTCACAAATGTTTGGATGTTGGATGCCTTTATTTACACACTCAAAGATATCGGACACGAAGTAAATCTGCTGCACATTCCTTACTGCCGTACTTGGTACTTACTATTCAGTCCTGTTAATAGAATATCCGCCAATGTGAATAAGTTCTATGATTGTCTTGACTTTTTTAGTTTATTTCAAGATAAATTCGAGACGTGGGCCAAGAGAATTGTTTCAAGTTAGATTTTTAGATTTAAACTTTGTACCACTTCAAATGTATGTATTTTTTATACGTAAATAAATAAATTGAATTCTTCTGGTTTGAAAACCTCATTTTTCTCCAATGAAAATAATGACGTCATTTTTAAACAGGTTCAAAATAAATTTTAAAAACATTTCGAACTGCTGCTGAGGAAAAACATTTTTGAACTTATTTGCACTGAAAGGTCTTTGTTACAGAACACCAGATCCAAAAAATTACCATAAATATTGGAAATGTTATTTAACTGGTGTAAATTAAAAGAAGCCATACAGTATGATAACACTCCAGTCTCCTAATTATTTTTTCCCTGAAAACTGGGACCATAGGGATCATTACTCCACCTAACTTTGGGGCAATTGAAATCCCCATACAAGACAACACTAACATCTCCAGATCCCAAAAATTTACTTAGTACGATTGCAACTGAATCACAGTAATTATCATAGACTTCCAGAGGGAACGGAACACCCAGTAGATTTTTAAGGAATTGTACAATTATTGCAGTACCTGGTGAATTTGCCTCAGATTTGCACGAGGGAGTGGTAATGAAGCAAAAACAACCTACATGGTCTTCTCATCTCTTAAAGAGCCTCATCTACTATAATTCCGTATTTATTAATAGCACACTTATTGCAGAAGCACCTACATTCAAAATTTCTTGAAATCTGTTTCAACAAACTGCCAGCAAAGTTGTGTGGAAATAACAGTAGGCCTTTTCGGAAACGCTGATCCGATCAACCGGATCACCAGCTGATGTACTTTTTCTTTTTTCAATCATGATCAATAAAGAAAAACGAGAAACAAACAGCTGATGATCGGGTTAATCGGATTAGCGTTTCCGAAAAGGCCTAGTGTTTCAAACAAAAACCTAAAGTGCTACCTGGTTGAACTGGCTACTATGATGTCAGAATTTTTTTTAGGTAATTTGCCAGCAGATTTTCTCTTTCTTATCATCTCAAACTTGATTTACAGATTTTACAGTTTTAGCTGTTTGGCCTCGCTTTGAGTTTTTTCAAATATTTGTGTAAAGTAATATTTTTAACTCGGATTTTTCCTTGTGGTTCTACGACAGACAAAAGAAACCCCCTTTAGTCTCACTTTGACTCTCACCAAGAAAGTTTGGTTCATATTGCTCTGACTCAAAGTCGAGGTACGGAACATCAATTGGGTCCAATGAAAAACGTGTTGGCTGGGAAGAACAATTTGATGGCAAGCAGGAAATTTATGAGATTATGGGTGATGATTTTTTCCATGCATTTGCAGGGAATTCCAGGTTAATTGAATGAAATTTGCTCCCCTTTCTGTGAATTGTTATGACAAAAGCCCTTCTCCGCAGTTCTGGCAAAAGATTTGCATAGCAGCATTAGGCGTATCTGGAGTCTGGTAATAAGTCGGGCTGCAGAATAGCAGAAAAGAGTTGTAGAAGAGTCTGGATGGGGTGATCAGTTTATCCTCAGAGGTGTTAAGGGTAATTTTTCTACCCAGAATTGAGGAGAGAGTTCTTTGTGTTTTTTTATATAATTTCGAAATGTCTTGCGTCTAGAAGCAACAGAGACCCCTTTGGAGTTGGCTCTAGCAGATTTTATTCTTAACAGATTCTGTGATTTCAAGCAGTTAAGTTTGCAGGTATATTTGCAATTGCAATATTTATCCTATAATGGCTTCCTTTATAACTTCAGTGCATGTGACAAGGGAATCTGTATGTAATAAATAAAAAAATAATCTATCAACACGTCAACGTTTGTAAATAATCGGATTATAATTTCTGTTTTATACTCATTGGTAATAAGTAAATACATATAAAAAATGTTTTATCATTTCAGATTATTATACAGGGCTTCAAAAGCTACAGGGATCAAACTGTTGTGGAACCGTTTGATAAACGTCATAATGTAGTCGTGGGAAGAAATGGTTCAGGGAAAAGTAACTTTTTCTATGGTAAGAACATTGTTTTGATCAATTCGAAAAACAATTCATTTTGAGCTAAATTTCAAGTATTAGATTGGACATGATTGCCTATATAATTTTCTCTAAAGTAAAAAAAAATTGTGACTTGACTGCAGGGATCAATAAGTTATATAACTATATTAGTATTAATTACGTTTTAAAATTCTTCATGCTTGATAATGATTAACTACTTTTCTTTTCATTATTTCAGCCATTCAATTTGTCCTCAGCGATGAGTACTCCCACTTAAAACCGGACCAAAGACAGTCTCTGCTTCACGAAGGCAGTGGACCAAGAATTGCATCCGCCTATGTCGAAATTATTTTTGATAATTCAGATGCCCGTGTCCCTGTAAGAAAAATTATTATTGAATAAAGCCACACTATGTTAAACTAAAAAATACATATTTTAGATTGAACATGAAGAAATTTTCTTGAGGCGTGTAATTGGTGCTAAAAAGGATCAATATTTTTTGAATAAGAAAGTAGTGCCAAGAAGCGAGGTCATGAATCTACTTGAATCTGCTGGATTTTCTAGTTCAAATCCATATTATATTGTTAAACAAGGAAAGGTAATAATAATTTCATTTAATATGTTATTTTTCTGCAACGGTTTTTTTTCTAGATTCTTCAAATGGCCACAGCTCCAGACTCACATCGTCTGAAATTGCTAAGGGAAGTGGCTGGTACCAGGGTTTTTGATGAAAGAAAAACTGAATCCGTTACTCTTTTTAAAGAAACTGAAGGAAAAATTGAAAAGATCCGCGAATTTTTGGCTACAATTGAAGAGAGACTTTCTACTTTAGAAGAAGAGAAAGAAGAACTAAAACAATACCAAAATCATGACAAAATCAGACGTGCTCTTGAATACATTATCCATGAAGTTGAATTGACTGAAAATAGGAAAAAATTGGCTGATGTATGTTAAGTTATAATTGATTAATAAGTTTAATTAATTTTATTATATTTTTAGTTGGAAAAACACAGAGATGAATCTGGTACTGGACAAAAAAAATTAGCAACCGACTTGAAAATAGCTCAAGACAATATAAAATCTATTACAAAAAGAATTAAAGATATGAAAAAGGAAATGGCTGCAAATAAAGAAGAAAGAGACATTTTAGGAAATGATCATCAACATTTAATCAAAGAAAAAACTAAATTAGATTTTACCATCAAGGATTTATCTGAGGAGTTACAAGGTGACAATAAGTCCAAAGAACGAGCTGAGAATGAACTAGCTCGTCTCACAACAACAATCAAAGAAAAAGAAGCCGAACTTGAAAAAATAAAGCCTCAATACGAAGAGAAAAAAGCCAGAGAAGAAGCATGCACTAGAGAGCTGGCTTTGAAGGAGCAAAAGCGCAAGGAGTTGTATGCCAAGCAAGGCAGAGGCAGTCATTTTAAATCCAAAGAAGACCGCGATAAATGGATCAAAAACGAATTAAAATCATTGATCAAACAAATAAAAGACAAAAAAGATCATCAAGACAAATTGGAAGCTGACCAAAATAGAGACAAGGCGAAAACGGTAGAGCTGCAAACAAAAATTGAAGAACAATCCCTAGAGTTAGAACGCCAGAAGAATTATATTGACGAATACAATAAGCAATGTTATGAATTGAAGAAGAATAAGGATCAATTTCAAGCTACAAGAAATGAATTGTGGCGCAAAGAAAATAACATACAAACAAACTTATCATCCCTAAAAGAGGACTTAGCAAAAGCTGATCAACAATTAAGATCTATGGTTGGAAAACCTATTTTGAACGGCAGGGATAGTGTCAGAAAAGTTTTAGACAGCTTTATAGCTCGTGGTGGCGAAGAGGCAAAAATAGCTTCAGCCTATTTCGGCCCGGTTATTGAAAATTTCAGTTGTGAAAAGAGTATTTACGTATCAGTAGAAGTAACTGCTGGTAACAGACTATTTCACCATGTAATTGAAAACGACAGAGTTGGCACAGTGATTCTAAAAGAAATGAACAGGCAAAAATTACCAGGGGAAGTCACTTTTATGCCATTGAACAGATTGAATGTTAGACAACAAGACTACCCCAGTGATTCTGACGCAATTCCTATGGTTTCAAGATTAGAATATGAGCCAAAATATGACAAAGCCATAAGGTATTTATTTGGTAGAACGTTGATTTGCAGGCATTTAGATGCGGCAACTAAACTTGCCAGAAGTACAGGATTGGATTGTATAACTTTGGAAGGCGATCAAGTTTCTTCAAAAGGCTCTTTAACAGGCGGATATTTCAATACATCAAGATCCCGTTTAGACATGCAAAAAAACCGAAGCGAAACCATTCAGCAAATCCAAAAATGCGAGCAAGAGTTAAAGAGTTTACGTACGGAACTTTCCCAAACGGAATCATCTATAAACACTATTGTCAGTGACATGCAAAAAATTGAAACTAAAAACACTAAAGCTAAAGTCATTTATGATAAAGTTAAAGTGGAACTAAGCCTAATGAGGGAAGAGTTGTCCAATATTGAAAAATTCAAAATTCCTAAAGAACGTTCTATGGCACAATGTAAATCTAGTTTAGAAGCGATGACTACAACAAAAGAAAATTTAGAGTCCGAGTTGCATCAAGAGCTATTGGCTTCATTGTCTGTGGCAGATCAACAACAAGTTGATTCGTTAAATGATGACATACAGAGATTGCAAAAAGAGAATAAGGAGGCCTTTAGCACAAGAATGAAATTAGAGGCCGAAAAAAATAAGTTGGAAAATTTGTTGACAAATAATTTGATTAGAAGAAGGGACGAGGTCTTACATGCTCTACAAGAAATTTCTTTGGAAGATCGTAAAAGGCAGTTGACAAATAGCCGCAGTGAAGTTGAAGAAATTGATAGAAAAATTGAGAAAGTTAATAGGGAACTGAGTTCAATGGAAACAAAAGTAAAAGACATGGCCAAAAAGTTGAAGCAAGAACAATCGGAATTGGAGAGTTGGAAGCGTAAAGAAAAAGAGGCTCAAGATAAAATTGACGAGGATGCAAAGCATTTGGAAAAGTTTGCGTCAAAACAGAATCTTCTGGAAACGAAAATCCAGGAGAGTGTTGAGAAAATTAACCAACTTGGTAGTTTACCAGCTCCGGAAACCTACAAAAGTTTTGCGAAAATGTCATCAAAGGCGGTAATAATTTATCTTAATATTTTTAGCCTATTTTTAAAATGTTTTTCCAGCTTTTTAGAGAATTAGAAAAAACTAACAATCAACTGAAAAAATTCAGCCATGTGAACAAGAAGGCTTTGGACCAATTTATGAGTTTTTCTGATCAAAAGGAGAAATTACAAAAAAGAATGCAGGAGTTGGAGAGAGGGTATGTTATAAATACAATTTCATAAATCTTAGACGTGTATCTACAAGCTTATATAATTTGTTATAGAGGAGAAAGTATCCAAGAACTCATTGAGGTACTCGAACAAAGAAAAGTCGAAGCTATTCAGTTCACTTTTAAACAAGTATCCAGATACTTTACAGAAGTTTTCAAGAAATTAGCTCCTGCAGGCAATGCTAAATTAGTTCTGAAAACTGCGGATAGTGGGGATGAAGGAAGAGATATATCTGCTGATGATGCCAATACTGACATTTTCCAAGGTAAGTTACATTAAAATTTGTCAATGGATGGTGCTTTATATAATCAGTGTATAAGGAAGAAGAGTCTTGCATCATGATAATATCATTATCATATGATTTGAAATGCATTGCATATTGCCAAAGCTTTATAATAATCTGAGATAATAATATATGAGAAAACTAAATCGGTTGAGAGATCGAGACATTTCACAATTGGAAAAGTTGCAATTTTTAAAAATGATGGTAATGCAAGTCAAAAATCATGTCTTCAAATAATTACACGTCACCTACAACTTTCAACAGAACGCCTTTATTGTTATCAAGATAAATATTCAATATATCCTTATTCTTTTTAGGTATTGGTGTGAGAATTTCCTTCACAAGTGCCGACGTCGAAATGAAAGAAATGAACCAATTATCGGGAGGTCAAAAATCCCTAGTAGCCCTGGGTCTAATTTTCGCAATCCAAAAATGCGACCCAGCTCCCTTCTACTTGTTCGACGAAATCGATCAGGCCTTGGACGCTCAGCATCGTAAAGCCGTAGCCGATATGATCCACGAATTATCCGCTGATGCTCAGTTCATCACAACAACTTTCCGGCCGGAATTGTTGGAACACGCTAATAAATTTTACGGTGTTAAGTTTAGGAATAAGGTGAGTCATGTGGAATGCGTGTCCAGAGAAGAAGCGCGGGACTTTGTCGAAGATGACACTACACATGGTTAGGTTCAAGTTGAATTCTGCTTTTCTGTAAAACAGCCTACTTTAATGGGATAATATTACTTTGTACTGGTAGGTTGTAGGTAGGTAACTAAGATATTTTCAAAACCTCTGATAAACATTTTTCAATTTCATGAATAAGTTACATTTATTGAATCTGAAAAATATGAACAACTGATTTAAAACAATACATATGGTCAATATACAGGTATAACTTCAAATCTGGTCATCGAATGTTCCACTTTGTTTTTTTTTTTTTATCATTTTCTTTAGCAAAGCCTCAACGAATATATCATTGCCGATTTTGTAATTTAATTTTCTAAGGAAAAATGCCATAAGATACCATAAGTTACATTTAAGATTCTGAAGTTGCCGTCACTTGACCGAAACTGAAGTTAAAGTGGTGAAATTAGATAACAGATCGTAGAAGCGGCACAAAAAGTTACCCAGATCCTCAAAATTTCAATTTTATTGGATGACACGTTACAAAGTTATCACCTGAGTAAAACATCGTATAATAATTGGAAAATCAAAAAAAAAAAACTCCACATCTTAACAGGGAAAGATGAAGGCTCTGGCAAATTGTGTCGGTTTGGACAAAGCAAGCATTCTGTTTTCCAAAGTCAGGTTGTCAACACTGAGATTGTATACTTGTAGGTTTGACATATTTTTCTCTATAGGTTCGTTTCAAATATTAATAATTTTTATTTAAAGTAATCAGATGTTTTGAAAGTATTTTTTATTTAATAGACATAGGAATTCAATGTATTGTTTGCAATACAAATAGGTTTAAGCTGTAGGAATTCTTTTTTTAGTTTTTGCGGGAAAATTTCTCCAATTTCAACTTGCAAATCTCATTCACGAGATTGTTTTGCAGTTTTATTATGTTACTCAAAGTAGCCAGGCTTTTAGTTTGTTCTTATTTCTATAGAAATGCATTGAAAAAATATTTAATAAAAATCTGTATAACGAATTCAATGTATTATTCACGTTACAACTTGATCCTGATGTAAAAAAAAAATTATGTGCAGTGCCGTACATGTGGTAGAAGTGAAACTTAATAAGAACTATCCTCCCTCATACATTTTTAAGACAGCGTATGAGTCGGGGTAAAGACGAAGGACCACACAAAAGGGAGACGCGCATCTGTAGTGACGTCACAAGGGTATCGGCGTTTGACAATAATAGGCAATCCTCCTTGCATAGAATTCTTGGTTTGTGACAATCCTTCGTCGGCTGTCATTGGCTGTCTTTCTCCGTCTCTCTACATTATATCTTTCTTCTCTCTCGTATAGCGCAATTTCCCAAAACGTTTATCGAAAATAAATATCTCAAACAAATGAATCCATCAAGCTTGATTTGCGGAAATATACCAAAAGTATTTCTTCACAAAGGACCCCGCAGAAACCTTATGAGAACTGGCCCTCAGTGGAATCTCATGAAATTTTGCATATTGATAGTTCTTGACCTATAGATTAAAAGTGTCTATGGGCACAAAGTTCTAAAAATTCGCTTTTTTGAGTTTAAGTCGTTTGAAGTTGCGTCATATGTAAAATTGCTCAAACCTTATACAGTCTAGTTTTTTCGGTTACTTCGTGAATTTTCGAAGGACATATGCATAGTATAATAGGTTTCAAATTATTCGATTCCAGAAATGGCGACTTTTAAACCATAGGCGTCCTAAGAGGGGTTTGAAAATAATTATGGGTAAATGATGAGGTGAGTATCGATCACACTAAACAGACCAAAATTAGTTGCTGTCGAGTTTCTATTTTCTGTCGTTTTACATCAGAGAAACGGTTGCAGTTTTGTTTAGTTCAATTAAGAAAGTAGATGGTTTTATCGGTGGAAGTGAACAGGGGGCGGATTACGAACTCTCGACTCGAACCGAAACCGCCATGGATTTCGAACGCATTCTGATGCATTTGCATGGAGAGCGTTCAAAATACATGGCGGTTTCGGTTCGAATCGAGAATTCGTAATCCGCCCCCAGGTTTATCGGTAAAAACAGTTCAGTTTTTGTTTTTTAAAACAGCAACAAAACAGCAACTCAAATAGTCGGTTTGGTGTAAAACCGCCATTACTCTTTGCCTATTATGTCAATCAAAATTGAATAATATTTTTCATCATACTGAACTACGACCGCTGGCGCAAATAGGTGACGACGTAGTTAATGACGTTGTCAATGGTGCTATACAACACGGCCGCGATTCCCAAAAACGAGGCCAATAAGCAATCCGTAGTAGTGTGTATTATCCTTGGTATTTGGAAACGTTAAAATCACAGCCATAACCACAGCCCCCTACACTTACAAGCCATGAAGTTGGAAATGACGGCAACGTCGCGTATGGTGCTATTTTGTTATCGAGGTTTGTTTCTGTGTATTACGTTCATTGTGTATTGTTGCAGTTTAGTATTTTTGTGGGCATTATTGACGAAAAAGTGGATAGAAACACACCGATATATTGCCCATATTTAGTTGATACCTGTTCCTTTGTGCTTTGATTGCAAATTTTCAGCAAATGGGTACAGCAGCAAAAATGAAGGTTAGGTAAGGTAAAACAATAAAAACAATATTAATATTTGTGTACAAGAGCATAGGTCTCGATATATTACCTAAGATATTTAAACTTGTTCCAGATGCCATGAAACTACTGTGTTCCTGGGTGCAAATCGTCCAAATCGAACTATTAGGAGTTCCTTGAAAACTGAAGAAATGCAAACATTTATTTCCAAAAAAATTCTGAAATGCAGAAGTTGTGGATGGAAAGCAATACACCAAGATAATTATACCCGAGATTGGCGAGATTATACCATAACGAAAAATTCTGTGGTGTGTTGTGAACATTTTGAAGAAACCGAAATAATTAGATTTGAAACAAACAAGAATAAAGGAGTAATTCGAGAGTCCAAACTAAAACGTCCAACTCTTAAAAGTACCTCTTATTTTCGGAAATCAGCTCAAGTATTTGAATAAACCTGCCTTCTGAAAAAATCCCGAAGAAAGAAAAATATAGATTTTCAAAAGACATACTGAAACATAGGCTTATAACACTAGAATCTAGAAATATATTCATTTAAATCAATTATTTACTGTTCTTATTTACACATATAGTTATATTATTCATTGAATTACTGTTTTTGACCCTTTAGTACAATAAATGATGCATTTGTCATTATTATTAACAAAATAAAAAATATATACTTATAAAAACAAACACCACCAGCACCACTTGGCGGTAAGATTGCGGTGTTGCCTTTTTAACTTCATGGCTTGTTAACTGTACAGTGGCTGTTAACTGTAGGAAGCTGTGCCATAACTCGTTCTGTTCTGGTGAACGCAGCCAGCCTTTGTGATCATTGGAATGTCAAATCTTTCAACTTTACCTCAACTTTTATAGCGCTTTCGACTTTTACCTCAAAACTGCTACCGATTGATAAAACCGATCCGAAACTGATTCACATGATCGCTCTCGCTCTCAAATCTAGCACGAAGCGCTCTTTCAAATTCGATGGATCAAAGCGTTTGATGAAAATACATAATTTATGTTCGGGTATTGATTCCAAATGGTGTTCCTTCGTTTGGATTATAATCGCTTTCGGAGCACTCCCACAGAGATTTTTGACGTCACAGCCCAGACGGAGAGCGCTCTGGGTACCTATTCTTGAAACCAGAGACCAAAGCTCTCAGCACAGGAGAACGATTGCTTTGTCTGCCACCCTTTGAGCGCTCCCGAGTTACTCCGAAGTACTCCGGCTACAGTTTGACCTGTTCGGTTTCAAGCGTTCGAGTGCAAAACGCATGGAGTATGACAGGTGTGAAGTGTTCTAGTAGTTTCGCACTCTGCACCCGAAACGAAAGCGGCTCAGATCGAAAGAATACCTGTATTATAGGCTGAGTTCGGCTTTGCACTCCACGGACCCGAACAGTATGAGCATGGATATCGTGACGTCATACGCATAGTAGGCCCCTGAACAAGGCCTTAAGTCAAACGCAGATCGAAAAAAGAAAACCTGAAACCCTTGTCAAAATTGTCACTAATCTCAAAAAGAATAGGGAACTTGCACATTGAATTGAATATGAAATTAATAATAAAATACAATAACAATCATCCTAATAAATGATGCAATTAGGAGAAGGATATAATATCTTATCTCTGGTTTTCAAAATCTTCAATTGAAAATACCAAATAATTCGAAATTCTGGACAAGATCAAAAACGTATTTCTATGGGTCCTGACGTCAAAGGGCAGTAATAATCGGGTCGCACCGCTGCCACACCATGTGCTGCTGGTCTTGTCACTGTCAAATCTATCATAAACGGCATACACTTACCGTGCGTTCGGTATTTTGATCTGAGTTCTCCGAGCTTGAATTTACCGTTCCTTTATTTAAAAAGTGTACTGGGTGCAGGCTCATTTGCGTTCGCTTATTATAATTTCTGGCACACCGATACAGCGTTCAACTGCTCTGTTCGCTCGCTGGCCACGTGATTACGGCTCCGCTCAGCACGCTTTGCTCGTTGGGCATAATACCGAACGCAAGGAATGACAAGGAAAAAAGAGGGGACGGGTAACAGGCATTAATAAGCTTGCGCGTGAATGTGTGATCAAAAATTGATCGGCGGCCATTATCGTGGTGCCAAACAAACAACTTGACACCCGGCATATTTTCTGTATTTATGCGACGAAAACGAATGAAATATATTTGTTTTAGTATCTGATCAAGATGGTGATTTCTTATGCTATCAATTGCAAGAGTTGTAGCGACAAAAACGTGCCAGGAATTACGTTTCACAGGTGAATAAATAATTCTTATTTCAACCTGGTTTTCTAACCTACAAAAATATTTCCATTATAAAGCCAGGTGTCATTTTATCACAATTTAGTTTCATTGGTTACTCGTCCCCTCTTTTCTCCTTGTCTAAGGGCATACATAACAACATAACCATAATCTAAATCTACGCAGGTCACTGTCAACCAAGGACTGTGAACGGAATTTTGTTGCTGAGTGACGTCACACTAATCGGTCGTTTCAAATGGCGGTGTTTCGAGCGTAACTTCAAATATTTATAAAAAATTAACGGCTGATTTTTGATGCTTGATATTTGGCATGACTATGTCTTTAGTGTAGTGCAACACATTTTTGAAATAAAAAAAAAATGTGCAAGTTCCCTATTGTTTTGTTTTGAGTTTAATTTTACTAGTAAACGAGTAGGTAAATTAGTAATGGACCTGGAATAAAAGTAGAAGAGAAATCTGGGGAAAAAACCGGAAACCGGTGTTCTCAATCCATTCATCTAGAGAAAAGAGAGGGGCTCGGAGTACGTGCTCGATTGTAACCCGAACGCAAAAGAAAACACTCTGAGAGCTAAAACTAACATGATCTTATCGTTTCGAGCGCGCTCGGAGTTCACCGAGTATAGAGCCGAAGTCAGCCTCAGGGTCTTTATTCTTGAAGCGGGTGAGCGGAGAACGAGTGTTCCGTGTTTCTCAATGATATGCAAATGAGAATATAAGCAACAAAGACGGAACATTCGTTCTCCCTGGAAACACTGTTCTCCTGTTTCAAGAATAAGGACCCAGGTCGAAAATACGGGTATCTTATCTTCAGGCTGGGACCAAGACAAGTACAATTCTACTTTCATGATGTCAGGTTGCCCAGCGATCATCATCATCGCCTGTACTGTACGCGATAAATAGGTCACGGTCGACGTCATGAAAAGAGAATGCCACCCGACGTGATTCCATCCCAGGGGTAAGGAGGGATGTAAGATTCTAACTTAGGCTATGGTCCGAATATAACATTTACCAAAGTAACCGAGTCGGTTGACAGATGGTTACTGAAAATTCCGGTTACTTGGGGAACGCGAATATGAAATAAAAAATAATTGACAGGATGTATGTACAGATAAAACCAACAGAACCGACATTTGATAGCCGGTAACTATTTTGACACTTGGTTAAACAGATTTCAGGAAACTAAGGTCCAAAAGTAACCACTTTTCCACGAACCAGAGTAATTTGATTACTTTCGGATCGCGTAGCCACAACCCTGGTTATATTCGGATCACAGCCTTAAGCCTAGTACTCATAACTGCGAAATTCGCATTTTTTTGACATTGCGTTGGCAATTTGACGTTTTAGGGAGGATTTTCATGCATCCGTTTTTCCGTCGAAATATGTCCGTTTAACATTCTATTTTGACATATTTATATACGATTATGTCAGAATAGAATGTCAAACGGACATATTTCGACGGAAAACGGATGCATGAAAATCCTCCCTTAAGCCTAGTACTCATAACTGCGAAATTCGCATTTTTTTGACATTGCGTTGACAATTTGACGTTTTATGCGTGTATCAAACGTCAAATTGTCGAAGCAATGTCAAAAACATGCGAATTTCGCAGTTATGAGTACTAGGCTTTATGCGTGTATCAAACGTCAAATTGTCAAAGCAATGTCAAAAAATGCGAATTTCGCAGTTATGAGTACTAGGCTTTAGTTGTGTGAAATCGTACGTTCAACGTTCAACCGTCCAACTCAGTTCGTTTTCTTGAAGTTAGGTCAGAAAATGGTTAGTTCGTAACCAAGGTTCCTAAACTTAATAGTGGTTGTCTGATAATGGATAACTTGATGAACGATGACGTATCTGGGGTGCCTTATGGAGATTTGCAATTATGTTGAGGCACCCCAGATGACGTCATAAAGTTATCCGGCCATCTTGACGTTTGTTTGTTTGTGTCGCACCAGCTTGAACTGAGTGCTCAGAGTCAGAGTCACTCAACGGGTAAAAGAAATACAGTAATTAATGGAGGGAACAGGGAACCGTCAAATGTGGCGTTTTCGACATTTAAAGGTCTGTTCCCACAGGAGTCTCTGACAGTTTGCAACCTGTCAGAAGCAATCGCTCAGCTGAGTTACAGAGATTAATCTTGTAACGACAGCATTGAAGTTTGCAAACTGTCAGAGACTCCTGTGGGAACAGACCTTAATTCTAGGCTGCACAGGACTGCCTTAAGGCCGAAACTCACTAGCAACACGCCACGTCATCCTTCGCCACGCCACGCTATGTGACGAAAATGTATGCGTATATTCTTCCATTTATTTATATGTGCTGCGTACACACTTGCCATACGCGATACCACGCCATGGCACGCCACGCCATCGGTCCATTTGCATACAAACTGTCCCACGTGAACCTGTGTCACATGGCGTTGGGTGGCGTGGCGTGTTGCTAGTGGGTTTCGGCCTTTATCCTTCTCGAAAGCAAGTGCAAGTAAGTGCAGGTTGAACATGAACTAAACAGTTTGGCACAAACGAACGCTCATCAGTTCATTGCCATAACACAGTATTGCATAACACAAACGAACGCCCCAAAGCAGGAAGTGCAGCTCCGAACAACCTAAAAAAAAAACCAACGTAACTTTAGCTTTGCTCTTGATTTACGAACGCGCCCCATTGAGTGTTGTCAAATTTCTTTTGTGGGTTGTTGTGTTGGTGTTGGTGCTATGTCATTCTGTCAAGTTGTCTTGTGGAGGAAGAAAAAAAACAATTGTAGTTTCACTATTTTTACTGGTGTTTTTTAGTATTTTTTTGCTAAATAACAAACATTCAGCCACAGTTTATTATTATGTTTTTAATCTTGCAACAGCAAAAATTGTATGTATATTAATTTTGGAATAGCATGACATCAGCCATGTCACCCTCAGAGGTAATTATTTTGGTTTAACTTGAAAAACATTTGGCTAATATTTTCCCATTTCTCCTTACAGAGAAGATTGCAAAAAGAGTTGATGTCCCTGATCAAGGATCCACCACCAGGTGTTTCAGTGGACGCTGAACAAGCAGAACAGAACTTATTGCAGTAAGCTACAACAATTTTTCGCATAAATATGCCATTAATCATTAACAAAATCCTGTTTCTCATCTTGTTTTGGTTGTGATATTTTTAAATTCTTATCAGCTATCATGATTCATGAAGGTGAAGCACCCAAAAATCCTTATTGTAAACTTATTTATAGTTTTATCTGGCTTCAAGGAATTTGTTAGTTTTGTCATATTTTTAATAGTCTGCCGGTGCTGGATTCATGCTTACCATATCCTTAACCTTATGATTAGACTGTAGAAAGAAATCTTTACGAGGTGATAATAACAATAAAATAATACGAAAATAAAACTTTAGGTACAATTTGACTCCATGTATGATTAAGAACAGCAACACAATTATCATTTAATTTTTTTAATCATTTATTGTGTACCTTAAAGCAGTAAAAATAATACACTACGATGAAACACGACGGTTTTTATCGCCACGATGAAACATGTCGTTCTAAAACCGAAGTGTGTAATAGAAAAACACGACGGTTTTCTACAGGGCCCCACAGACTACGATGAAACACGACGGTTTTCATCGCCACGATGAAACACGTTCCAAAACCAAAGTGTGTGGTAGAAAACCGTTCGTGTGTACGAAATGTTGAACCATCGTGCCAAAAATCAACCTCGGACTGAATTTTAAACCGACGATGAAACACGACGGTTTTCTACCACACACTTCGGTTTTGGAACGACGTGTTTCATCGTGGCGATGAAAACCGTCGTGTTTCATCGTAGTCTGTGGGGCCCTGTAGAAAACCGTCGTGTTCAGGGTTGAAAAAAACCATGTTTTTAAAAAAAAAAACATAAAAACATGTTTTTTTTGGTTTTTAGTGTTTTTTTTTTGTTTTAAACTAAACTGTTCAAAATACCTAAGAAAAAAAACATGTTTAAAACACCTCTGCTACTACAATCATCCTCCTGTGCTCTTACTCTGTCACTTTAAAGCTTCTTCATGATTAAGCAGATCAAGTATATGAGTGAATAATTTAATTTGAATTATTACCTTGCTGTAACGTGTTCTGCTGATGTACACAAAAAATGATGCGCTGGTTTTGTATTAAATAAACGTGTATTGACAATTGAAAATCGAAAAAATATTATTTTATGCGTGGCCGACTTGTTGCTGGCGGCCTGTGTCGTTCGTGTCTGTCTTCTTCTCTCTGGCTGTCGTCGTCGGCGCGATGGCGCCTTCCCCTCTCTCGCTCGGGCGGCCGGCGATGTCTCTGCTCGAACGGTCGGTAGTACAGGGGCGTACTATACATGCCCCCCTCCTTGAAAGGTTCTCCGTAGAACTTTCAACAGGTAATGGACAAAGCTTCACCAAAGCTCTAGATACGACTCCTTCAGCTGTTTTGACCATTGCTACTCTGGAGACTCCATCTTTACCATAAAAAAGCTCCAAAACACGTCCCATGCGCCATCTCATGGGTGGTAGGTTGTTATCTTTTATTATAACCAGCTGTCCAACTTCTAAAGTTCCTGTGTTTCTGGTCCATTTTTGTCGGGTTTGTAACTCACTGACGTATTCACGTTGCCAACGGCTCCAAAACTGCTCGTATACTTTTTGGACCAATTGGAATTGCGATAGGTAATTTTCTTTGAGATGTAGGACGGTACCTTCGGGAATGGCAGTTCCAGCTCTTCCAAGTAGAAAGTGTGCGGGCGTTAATGGGGAAAGGTCGTTTGGACAAGAAGTGAGAGGACAAATGGGTCGGGAGTTTAAAACAGATTCAATACGTACAAGTAAAGTCTGGAAGTCATAAAAAAATAAAGTATATGAACCTAATACTCGCCTTAGATGATGTTTGAGACTTTTCACCCCTGCTTCCCAGATTCCCCCGAAATGCGGCGAATTTGCTGGTATAAAGTGCCATTTAATACCAATATTGGTTACTGAATTCAAAATTTTTGGACCGTTTTCCTCAAAAAAATTATACAATGATTGAATTTCTTTATTGGCCCTAACAAAATTTGTGCCATTATCGGAAAAAACTTCGGAAGGCTTTCCGCGGCGACTTATAAACCTATTAAAAGCCTGTAAAAAATCATCGGAACTAAGAGATAAAATTAATTCCAGATGGATTGCGCGTGTGGTAAAGCAAACGAATACAGCTACCCAACACTTAATAAGTTTGCACCCTCTTCCACGTCGATCTTTCATTAAAAAAGGGCCCGCGTAATCTACACCAACCTTAAAAAACGGTAAAGCTGGTTGTACTTGAGCCGCTGGTAGGTCACCCATTATTGGTTGAACGTTTTTGGCAGAATATCTAGCACATTTTACGCATTTTTGTACCATTTGACGGGCAGTACTGCGTCCTGATGTCGGCCAATATTGCTCGCGAATATTTGCTAAAAGTAATTGGGGACCTGCATGCAACAAATTTTCGTGTTCAAATTGAAATATTAGCTTTGTAAGAGCATGGCTGGGCGAAAGCAGAATCGGATGTTTTTTTGAAAATGAAAAATCGGAATTGGATAGTCTGCCGCCTACGCGTATTAGTCCTTGACTATCTAAGAATGGTTTTAAATTTAAAATTTTGCTAGTGGATGGAAGCTCGCGCTTAGCTTTTAGGGTTGAGTACTCTATAGGATATGACTCTAACTGTGCAACTTTAATGATTCGATTAAAACTGTCATTGATTTCAGAAACTGACAAAGTTGCTGTTAAAATGCGTGATTCAATCGGATTTTTGCAGTTAAAAATAAATCTATAAATGTATGCTGCTATGCGTTTTAATTGTATTAAATTTGAAAAATCTTCAAAGGGAAAATAATTTTTCGAAGAAGTATTAGAAATTAAAGAAATATTTCGCATTTCTGGTAGATCCTCTGTAATAATTGGACTTTCTGGCCATTCATTTTTTCCAGAACGGAGCCAATTTGGTCCGTGCCACCACAATTTTGAATCAATTATTTGTTTTGGACTCATCCCGCGCGACACCAAATCCGCAGGATTATGTTTTGTCGGTACGTGCTTCCATGTAAATGTTTTTGTTAATTTTTGTATTTCCGCTACGCGGTTATCTATGAATGGTTTCAACAAGTTTGGAGAGGTCTGCAACCACCCAAGGACTACAGTTGAATCTGACCAACAATAGACTTCGTCGAAATGATCGTTTATGGATTCGAGAACTTTTGAAATCAAATTTGCTAATATGAGAGCTGCGCAAAGTTCAAGGCGCGGTATTGTAAGGGACTTCAAAGGCGAAACCTTGGACTTCGCGCACAATAAATGTGATTCACATTCACCTTTATTGTTTTTCGAAACTACGTATATACATGCGCCATAACTCGACTCTGACGCGTCAGAAAAACCATGTAAAGAAAGGTAAGTAGGTCGATCACATACCACCTTACGAGTAATGAAAAGGTCGTTTAATAAGTCAAGTTCAAATGAAAATTCGGTCCAAATGCTTAAAATATCTTCGGGTAATGGCTGATCCCATGTGAGATTTTTAGCCCAAAGTTTTTGTAATAAATTCTTCGCTATTATAATAACTGGGCCGATTAGGCCGAGAGGGTCAAAAATAGTAGCAATTCGAGACAAAATTATACGTTTAGTTACATTTTTAGGATTAATGTCATTTTTAGGAGATATTTTATACTTAAGAATGTCGCTGTCACTTACCCATGTAAGACCTAGAATTTTACTGTCGATTTCCTTGTTAATAAAAAATTCTAACGTGTTTTCCGCTTGATCGGCATTGAAATTCTGAATAACTTCTGGACAATTAGATTTCCATTTACGCATATCGAATCCTCGTTTAGAAAGAACATGCATGATATTTTTGATAACCGACTGCGCTTCTTCTGGTGTGTCTACGCCTGTGAGCAAGTCATCAACATACATGTCTTTTTTAATTATTTGCGCGATATTTGGATAATCATTCTCACACTCGTTTGCGACTTCAAATAAACTTCGTATTGCTAAAAAGGATCCCGCTGTTGTACCGTAAGTGACTGTGTTAAGTTCATAAATTTTAATCGGTTCACTCGTATTGAATCGCCATATGATTCTCTGTAATTTTCGCTCTTCAGGATTCAACAAAACTTGTCGATACATCATCTTTATGTCTCCAGATAGAACTATAGCTCGCATGCGAAATCTCATTATTATTGATAATAAATCTGATTGTATAATAGGGCCATTCATCTGTAAACTGTTAAGAGACACGCCTGAAGATGATGGAGATGATGCATTGAAGACTACCCGTAACTTTGTAGTTGAACTCGTATCGCGAAGTACTCCATGGTGTGGCATTACATATTCTGGAATATGGTCGTAAACGTCATCGTTATCTGTCACTTCTTTCATGTGACCAAGTTGCTCATACTCGCGTAAAAAGGCCGTATATAAATTTCTCAAAGTTTCGTTGGACATTAATTTTCGTTCTAAACTCGCAAATCGTTTAATCGCAATTTCTCGTGAATCGCCTAATTTTCTGGGAGAAGCCTTCAAGGGCAAAGAGACAATAAACCTACCCTCAGGAGAAACCTGCAAATGATCTACGAAGTGTTTTTCGCATAATTCCTCCTCTACTGAAAGGGGTTTTTTGGTGGATACTTCCTCTATCTCCCAAAAACGCGCAAGTTGGTCTTGAATAATCGAATGTGTACTTAAATTGCAAACTGTGTTGTCGTTCAAAGAAGCCAACGGACCTGCTATAACCCAACCGATTTCCGTATTGTGTAACAATGGACCGTTGTTGATTAATTGTATTTTTTCTGAACGCAAAATGCTCCAGAAAACGTCTGCACCAATTAATAAATCTATCTGCTGTGATTCATCAAAATCGGGATCTGCTAACTTGATGTTGGTCGGTATTTGCAAGGATGGACGATTAATTTTAAAACCTGGTATGTTGCTTGTAATTCTGTCAAGTATAAAACAATCTAAATGAAAACTGTAGCGATTTACCAATGACCGTATTTTTAAATTACATTTAAAATTTGAATATGTCGTTTTATCGTTAATCCCAGTAA